TTGGAGGAGAGACACAGCAGCACTCAGTGAATATTAACCAGCAGCTACGTCGATGTTTATAATTAGAGATGACACCGAAAAATCTGTTCGTTAAACATACGGAGCTTTTTCAGCTAAAAATGGCAACAGATTGTAAGTTTATACAAGTTATTATAACGCAAGACGTTTGAGAAAACATAGTTTGTTCTTCTTTACTATAGTTAAAAAAATCTTGGCTTCCTTATTGAACAGATAGAATCAGCCTGCAGAGCTTCTACAGATCTTAAACTGATGTTTCTGGTTTCATTATATTAGTAAAGAGGTGCATAAATCTTTTTTAAACAGAGCAGAGAGAAGCAGAGAGAGCTGCAGATTTACTGGGATATTCAACATGCAATAAAATACATGTCCAAGTTTAAAAGAAAGTTTACAAGAAAAAAAATGCTATGCTATATTTAAAATGCAGCATATCCATTTTTTTTCTGGATAGAATTAAAATTGTGCTTCTAGGGATGCATGATGTATCAATTTCGGCATTGGAATCGGCTCTTATTTTTTCATGCATTGATGTTTTGGCCCCTATATTTGCAATGCACTAAAAGGAATCTCTCTAACATCTATAAATATAAATATCAGTGTGTTGTTTTCTTGTTTTCCCAAAAATAGGAAAGCATTCAATAAAAAGATGTTCGAGCTCATTTTTGGATAATTAGCCTAATGAAAGTGTAACAGTAGGTCCATGATCCTCCACCGACTTTCATCACAAGGTTAAACCCGTTGACGGTACGCTTCCCTGTTGATTCCCGGACCAGCCCCCGAAGCTGACGGCTTGGTTCGAGTGCAGATCTCAGCTAAAAGCAGGAAAACTTCAGGGTGCGTCCAATAAATGCTACGGGTTCAGGTTGTTTCATGGAGTCATTTGTTATAAATCTATGATTCACCGGCTTCCTGTTTTCAGGAATTCAGCCCAGAACTGACTCTGGATCAGCACCAGCCCTGCTCTGTGAATCATCATCATTTATTGCTGCTTTAATACTTTAGCAGAACCAGACGTCTGTTGTTCCTAGATGTTTCATCTCTGATGATTAACAGACACCATCAGCTGAGGTCAGAGAATCCTAAATGGCCTGTTAGGGTCACCTGACCCACTGCGAAACCAGTCAGTGAATCAGTTCTTTGCAGATTAATCCACGTTAATCCTCATCTATGCCATTTAAATAGTTTTTCATCCTTTCTGAATCCTTTTTAAAATTTAAAGGACACTTTGCAAAAAAAGACAAATTGAAGACAAACTCCAGAGTTTAGTGTTTGCTTTATAAAACTTTACCAAAAGAAGTATTTACAAACTCACAAACGGAATACAAATCAACAATCGAGTGCAACTTAAACTGTCCGAACTGAATCAGAACCTCCAGCATGAAGTTCTGAACCGAGACGGTTTCTGATTCGATAAGAGAGCTACCAGCAGGGGGCGCTCCAGGCTGTCAGCTGGGATCAGATCCAGAAAATCCAGATTTCCACCAAACACAGAAACTGCATCATCTTGAGGTGAATTCATAAAAAAGCCACTAAAAACTGATACATTTCATGTTTTATAAACTTTAAATATTAAAAGACAAATCAAACATTCAGCTTATTGACAAGAACATTTTATCATAACCCTTTCTTTACGTAAAAACAATATTAAAATAAATCAACAAAGAGATAAAATATCATAAAATTATTTCTATCTACCTGTATTTTACACATTTTTGATAATTTATCTTTATTTGTTTTACATTAATTTAACTTGATATTAAATTATCATGGTTGCAAAAAAACAAACTTCCAGACAACAGAAAATGCATTAAGATTTTTTTTGGCATTTCAGCATCTCCTTTTGGTGAAAGAATCAAAGATTTTTATGGAAAAATGTTATTAATGAGGCGACAAGCTATGCTGATGAAACCAGGAGATCAGTTCAGCTCAGAGACTCAGAGAATATTTTGGTTCATCAGTTGTTCCTGATGGAGATCAGAGCTTTAAAGGAGCCAGAGGACATCCTGTGCTGCTGAGGCCCCCTGGTGGCCGTTCAGAGGGCTGCATGAGGACCACACATCATGGTTCCTTCAGAGACCCAGATCAGCTGATATTAAAGAATAATTCTGATATATCAACATTAAGACATTAAACATGACCAGAAACAGGAAGCAGGCCGATAAATATGGTAGAAAAACGGTCTCATTGGAATCTGCCTTTTTCTCTCACACCGAATTTTAAACACTATTTTTTACACAGTGGATTCCTTACGCTGAATTTTAACTGAAGTGACCTTCAAAAAATTTGATTGCAAATGTTTTTACCTTTTGGTGAACTAAGGCCAAAGCAATCTACACTCTATGTAGTCGAGCAGCTTCGAGCCAATGAAATGAGCTCATTTGGTCACATGACTCAACAGTTGGGCGTAGCTTTGTTCCAGGATAAATGAAGCTGAATGAGGAGATTTTCTTGGTAAATAGATATGAGTTTTTCATCTGATCAGACTGAGTAAAACAACTGAGCCAATCACAGCTAGTGCAGCACCCCCGCCTGCCAAGGCTCTTGGTTTGATCTGGAAGAATCGGCTGGCGGAAAAAATTCAATTTTTCCTGTACAAAAATCAGCTAATTTCATTGGCTAGAAGCTGCATCGAAAGTAGATTGCTTTGGCTTGAGTTCACCAAAAGGTCGACACATTTACTGCAGAATTTTTTGCAGCTGATTTTTTTTTTGCAGCCGAATTTTTTACAGCTTTTTTTTTTTTTTTGCTCCTGAATTTTTAGCAGCCGAATTTTTTGCAGCTGATTTTTTTTTGCAGCTGAATTTTTTGCAGCCGAATTTTTTGCAGCTGATTTTTTTTTTGCAGCTGAATTTTTTGCAGCCGAATTTTTTACAGCTCATTTTTTTTTTTTTTTTTTGCAGCTGAACTTTTTTTTGCAGATGATTTTTTTGCAGCTTATTTTGTTGTTTTTTTGCAGCTGGATTTTTTTTTGCAGCTGAATTTTTTTTGCAGCTGAATTTTTTGCAGCCGAATTTTTTACAGCTGATTTTTTTTTTTGCAGCTGAATTTTTTGCAGCTGTTTTTTTTTTGCAGCCGAATTTTTTACAGCTGATTTTTTTTTTTGCTGCTGAATTTTTTGCAGCTGATTTTTTTTTTGCAGCTGAATTTTTTGTAGCCGAATTTTTTACAGCTCATTTTTATTTTTGCAGCTGAACTTTTTTTTGCAGCTGATTTTTTTTTTCTTTTACAGCTGAATTTTTTGCAGCCAAATTTTTTGCAGCTGATTTTTTTTTTTTGCTGCTGAATCTTTTGCATGGATTTTTTTTGCAGCTGAATTTTCACCAGATAAAAATTTAGTGTTTAAAATTCGGTGTTAAAAAAAGGCAGATACCAAAGAGACCGGTTTTCTTCCATAGAAAAAGGCTGACCAGTTTAAAGGATTTCAACTATTTTATCTGTAAATAAAATAACTTAAGTTTAATAACTTAAACTCGTTTCCATCATTGCTCTGGTCTTCGTCTGCTGCAGCTCAGGCACCAAACAAGCCAACAGAACTCCTATTGAACCTTTCCTGCTGAGAACATCAACCATCAGAGGGGGGTAGGGTCTGCTTCGGATCACTGAAAACACCTCAAAGCTGCAGCTTCTATTCAAGTTTTTATTTTCTAGAAACAGAACAAAAAAATAAATTAAAATATTCAGATACCCAGATAAACCTCTTTATCTGATCAGAATCCAAAAGAACTTCCTGTCCAAAAGACACCTGCAGCAACGTGCGGTGAAGGTCCGTCCGTTCTGAGAACTAAACCGGCTCTGCAGTCTGATGCCTGAAGCTTCCTGCTAACTCATCCAAAACAAAAAGTCCCAACCAAAAAACAAACACCCACTCCCACAGTGAGAAAAACACACAGTCCTACATGAAAACCTCCTTCACTGCTTTAAAGTTCTGATGATCTAGCTTTTTATGTTTATTTTTAATGTTTTTTATCTCCACACGAAGGCGACCTGAGATCCGATGGGAGGTTCTAACAGGAAGGAACCCGGAAAACAACCTGGAGATTTTAAAGGAATTGGGTCCAAACTGGACTTTTCTTTAATAAACCAACGTGAGTATGGAAACGTCTAGGTTTCACTAAACCAGGATGCAGTACTAGCTTCTACCTGCAGGAGGAGCAGCTGCCTGTTGGGTGTGGGCGGGGCTACATTGTTAACTTCCACCCAATTCCTGCTTTCAGGTTGATGATTTCCATTATAATGTTGATGTTCAGCAAAAATTCCCATAAACATTTTCTAAAAATTTATTTTTCATCTCTGGGTTCCAATATATGGAGTAAATTATGTTCCAGTATTGTTGAAACGAAAGAAAACATTTTGTAAATTGAAAAGAAAAATGCAGTCAACTCAAACAACTGTTTTGAGAGAAATTTGGGATTTCTTTTTCAAAAATTTTTTTAATCAATATTCTATTTTTTTAAATGTTATTGTCCAAAGTGTTTACTGTAAAACACAATTTAAAAACAAGCATGCAATTTGTAATATTCTAAAAAAAAAAAAAAAAAAAAAAAGGAAATCTAAAAAATGTTTGAACAAAGTAAATATAGAAAAATATAAAAAAAAAATAAGTTTTTTAAATAAAATCTAAGAAAACAGTACATTTTCTCTCAAAAGCTTTTTTAATCAAGTTTTTCCCAGTTTTTATTTATGGATTGCATTTAATTTTATAAATTTCCATTTTCATGGTGTCCTCTTTGCTCGAAAACAATTATGGAACAAATTTTACTCCATACACGTAACTGAACGTTTCCATGGAGATCCTTCCGGTTTGTTAACCTCTTCTGATTTTCAGAGGCATCACAGTTCTTCTTGGGGTGAAGACAAAAAAGTGAAAGTTCTTCAACAAGTGAAACGGAGAAGCAGCAAACAGACACCTGACCCCCGTGACCCCGATCCAAACGACCAACGTCAGGAAATAAAAGACGCTCCAAACAACCAGCTCAGCCCAGAATCCGAGCCGAGAACTGCGACGGCATGGCTTCTGTACAGACGAGAGGAAAAGGCACCGAACAGCACCGCTCTGCAGGGGGCGCCGTCTGCGCAGACGCCCACACAGACCATCCAATCAGCTGTTAGAAAGCAGGAGCCCAGTCAGTTCAAGGTGCTTCTTTCTTTCAGTTAGTAAAGAGTTTTAAGGCAAGAAAACAGCAGGAGGCGCTGCTGCGCCTTCCTGCCCTGCTTCCAGGAATTAGTCTGTGCCGCTGGCGGCCGAGGGAGGAGCTCTGAGGAAGAGAGGAGGAGCAGAGGTTAGTACCCAGAGGGAAGGAGGACAGAGGAGGAGACGCAGCAGCAGGAGCAGCCCGCTAATTGATTAGTTGGATTAGAGGGGAAAGGACCACCAGGTGGCGCCAGAGAGAGACAGAATCACTTCACCAGAACTGACTTTGGCAGAAACTCCTCCATTTCGCCGCCTCTGTCTGTCCTCAGGGGCTCCGCAGACGCAGAGGAAGAGGTGGAGTTTGGGGGAAAAGGCCCGCTGGACGCAGGCTTGGGGAGGCTGTACATGTAGACGGCGCCGATGACGAGCCCCGCCCCCGCGGAGAAGAGCAGGTCCACATGGAAGCTGAACAGGTAGATGGACATCACCGTGGAGACGATGATGGAGAAGGACGTGGCGAAGCCCTTCAGGATGTTGTCGGCGTACTTCACCACGACGGCCACCAGGAGCCCGCCGAACGCCTGGTTGAAGATGACGCACCAGACCATGCCCGTGTAGCCAAACAGGAAGCCGTGCTCAGACACGGCGGGCCCGTCGTTCCACCACAATCCCAGCAGGCCGAGCGCCGTGCCAAAGATCCCCAGCTGCACGTTCCTCATCCACACCGACGCAGAGCTCCCCTTCAGGATCCTCTCAAAGTAAACGCCGGCAAACCCTGACGACAGGCAGCTGATCACCACGGCGACCAGACCCACCATGTAGTTCTGGCTGGAGGAGTCGGCCACCGCCGCCTCTTTGTTTCCCTCCTGCTGCACCTGCAAGGAGACGACCAGCGAACCATCAGCTGGAGCCGCTGGACTGCAGACGGCTCAGAATCACCTGATACCACAAACAACAACAACAAACTACAACATAAAGAACAACATTAGCTAAGCTATGTAATATCAACAACATTAGCTAAGCTACACTAGCAACATTAGCTAAGCTAAGTAATCTCAGCAACATTAGCTAAGCTATGCAATCTCAGCAACATTAGCTAAGCTATGCAATCTCAGCAACATTAGCTAAGCTATGTAATCTCAGCAACATTAGCTAAGCTACACTAGCAACATTAGCTAAGCTATGTAATCTCAGCAACATTAGCTAAGCTACACTAGCAACATTAGCTAAGCTACACTAGCAGCATTAGCTAAGCTATGTAATCTCAGCAACATTAGCTAAGCTATGCAATCTCAGCAACATTAGCTAAGCTACACTAGCAACATTAGCTAAGCTAGACTAGCAACATTAGCTAAGCTATATAATCTCAGCAACATTAGCTAAGCTACACTAGCAACATTAGCTAAGCTATGTTATCTCAGCAACATTAGCTAAGCTACACTAGTGACCATCAGCTAAGCCACATTAGCCTGCTGTAGCACATCATTTTTTATCAGAAATGTGGGAACCTTCAGGGGTGTGAATACTTTCAACTGGTGCCGTTGTTTGGAGAAGCGGACGTACCTGAACAATGGCGACGCCCCCGAACAGCAGCAGCAGAGAGACCCACTGGACCCTGGACAGAGACTTCCGGAGCATCAGGACGCTGAAGAGCGCCGTGGTGAGGATCTTCAGCTGGTACGTCACCTGAAGGGGGAGGAGCCTATTAGAACTATCAGGTACGAGCTGCAATCATCTTTGGCTCTCACGTTGATGCTAGAAGGTTCTTAGCAAATAAGGATCAGTTTTACAAAAGCTCTGATCCACTGTTCTTTCGGGTTCTGAGGTCTGACAGCGTAGAAATGTTGGTTCTAGAGTTAAAAGACGTCTGGCTGATGGAGATGAGTAATCTGCTTCCTGGTATGTTGAAGAACCAATAGTTTGCATCCAATCATTTAATTAAACCCTCTTAGTTTTGAGGAATAGATAAGAATTACGCTCTAATTTGTAGTGACCAATCTGTCGTTATGTTTTAATTTGACAAACTGGATCTTCTAGATGTTCTTTTTCCTGTTTGGTAAGAGTGCAGTAGCAGATCTTGATCTGGCCGGAGCAGAGTGGAGTAACGAATATCTCGGCTCCGTATTTTGACGATGAAACACGGAGAAGACGTACGTTGACGGTGACGTGCGGAGGCTGTGGAACAGTTCTTATTGGTTAACATGACAGAGAAATACGATGCACGACGTACGCCATCGGCGCGGTGACAGAGATTATGGAATCTGGGGGTTAGATGCTTCTTCACTGGGCTAATCCACCATTCTCTTTGTTTAAACTTCTGATTGGCTCAGTGGAGTCACGTGATTAGACGCACGCTGCAGTGTCTTAAAGGGGAAGGAAATGGTTTGGAGCGGTTCGGGTCTGACCTGGAAGGTGGCCGCCGGCAGGTTGGAGATGGCCACGTACTGCAGGTTGTTCTGCAGCGTGTAG